AGCCACTGTAATCTGTTTGAAAGATCAAGAGGGAGGCAGCGGGAAGCTGGACTGTCGAAAGGAAAGACTGCAGCCGCACAGCAGGGGAGCGTTGAGAGGCAGAAATTTATATTCTCCCAAAATGTGTGTCGAAGCCCTAACCCTAATGTGACCGTACTTGGGGATAGGCTTTAAAGAGGTAATTAAGGTTAAATGAACTCATAAAAGTGGGGTCCTAATCCAGTATGACTGGAATCCTTGTCAGATGAGACGGACACCAAGGAGGCACAAGCACAGAGGAAAGGCCATATGAGGCCCCGGACAGAAGGTGACCACCTGCCAGCCCAGGAGAGAGGCCTCAGGAGACATCAAATTTGCCAACACCTTGATCTTGGACTTCCAGCCTCCAGAATTGTGAGGAAATACATTTCTTTTGTTGAAACCCTTAGTCTGTGCTATTTTGTTATGCCAGCCCCACAAAATAGTACACTTGGCAACTGGCTTCTCTACTTCTCTACTGGAAACTACTTCTCTACTGGCTGAGTAGAGCTGGAAAAGGGCACGTAGAGATGCCCACCTCAGCTGCTGACCACACATGTTGGCAGAATGAGTTGAGACAAAGATTTGGATGTTATGAACAGAAGTGGAACATGGGAGTGAATCACAGAACCTTTGGAGAATGTATAGAATGAAATAAGAGGGTCACTGTAGGGGCCCCTGGGTGGCTCAGTTGGTTAAGAGCCTGCCTTCGGCTCAGGTCATGATCCCAGGGTCCTGGAATCGAGTCCCACATTGGGCTCCCTGCTCAGTGGGGAGTCTATACCTCCTTCTCTCTCTACCCCTCCTTCCTGCTTGTGTGTTCTTGCTCTCTCTGGCTCTCTCAAACAATTAATTTAAAAGAAAAAAAAAAAAGGTCATGACGGAACCCTAGCAAATGCCTACAACTAAGACTCTGAAGGAAGAGATGCCCCTGAAGAAATTTTAGAAGAGACAGGGGAACACAAGAACACAAGAACTCCAATCTAGAGACTGGAGCCATGAGAACTCAAAGAATGCTTAAATAAGCAGGTTCAACAGAGCCAATTCTAACATAAAAATGGAAGCAGATGGGGGGCCTGGGTGTAGTCAGTTACACGTCCAACTCTTGATTTCAGCTCAGGTCATGATGCTGAGCCCCACACAGGGCTCCAAACTTAGTGGGGAGTCTTAGAGAGTCTTAGAGTCTTAGAGAGGGAGCTTCAGAGTCTCTCTCCCTCTCTAAAATCAATCAATCAATCAATATTTAAAAAAAAGAAAAGATGAAGACAGATAAAGCCTGAGTTACTGAGTTGGAGTGGTCTTGACAAGAAAATCTGTGGGTGGCCAACAATTTAGGTGTGAGGAAGGTAGTAGAGACAGGAAGGGTAGACAACCCTAGAGCTTAACTGTTGTGAAAGAAAAAAGGTGGTGGCTCTGGACGTCAGCTTCAGAGAGAACTAAAGCACACAATTTATCACCTGCAGCTGTTAGAGGAGAGGTGACAGAGGCAGAAAATTCAGGACGTCAGCTTCAGAGAGAACTAAAGCACACAATTTATCACCTGCAGCTGTTAGAGGAGAGGTGACAGAGGCAGAAAATTCAGGATAGGAGAGGCAGATAGATATAGCACTGGTGACAAACTACACAGAAGGAGAGAGGTCTTTCCCATTGCGACAGGGACAAAACAGGTTAAGGCTGGAAGCAGATGATGCTGTAGGTAGAGAAAGCCTAGCATTTTTTTTTTTGTTTTTTTTTTTTCACTACGAAGCAGGAAAATACAGCCATCCTGCTTTGAGAGAACGGTGGAACTAGACCGGCTAGTAGGTAGGGAGCACGAACTGCTTCAGGAAAGACACTGGGACAGCCCAACAGCTCTGAGGATCCAGCTGCATTTAGACACAACAGACATATAGTGTCACAACCCCGTAGTCATGGGACTTCTCAAGCAGCAAATAGGGGTTCCCAATCTCCTTAGGTTTTTCCTTGTGTTTCTCTGCCCATTCGAAAATTTCTTTAGGGGTAAGGCACCCCTGCCTGGCTCAGTTGGTAGAGCACAAGACTTGATCTCAGGATGATGAGTTCAAGCCCCACGTTGGGCATAGAGCCTACTTAAATAAATAAATAAATAAGAAAACAAAAAGTAGAATTGTGGGGCGCCTGGGTGGCTTAGTCAGTTGAGCATCTAACTCTTGATTTTGGTTCAGGTCATGATCTCATGGTAGTGGGATGGAGCCCCACAACACACTCCAAGTTCAGCAGGCTGTCTGCTTGGGATCCTCTCTCTCCTTCTCTCTGCCCCTCCTGCCGCTCACAAACTCTCTCTCTCAAATATATCTTTAAAAATAGATAAATAATATTATATGTTTATAAAAAATAAAAAAATTTAAAAAAATAGATAAATAAAAGTAAAATTTCTTCAGGGTCATCTCTCTTCTTTTAGAGTCCAGCTGGAAGTGTTTGCCAGAGTTCCACTGTGACCTTCCTATTTTACTTCTATATGTCCTCCATAGGTTCTGTAATTCGCTCCCATGGTTCCATCCTATTTCCTGTGAAATTGAAAATCTGGAAAGGTAAGTAACTAAATGAATCCATACTGGGGTATCGCTAGGGAAAAGCAATGTAAGGACAGGCATAAATGACCCCAAGAAGAGTTGGAGTGCACCCTATCTTCCCCTTCTCCATCACTTACTTCCTTGTGAGTTTTATCCTTAACTAAAAACAACAGTGCCCATCCCGAAAAGACCCAACATTCCCTTTATATGAGGAACACTTACTCACCACACGTTTACTGTCCTGAGGTCAAGTCATAGATGACCTGCCTAATAGACACAGTGTAAAAGATCCATTTACTGTCCTCAGGGTAATGTAATGGAGATGCAAAGTGAAATTTATAATAAAAAACAGATTTTCAATCTGTAAATCTCCAGTGAAGGTATAAGAAAGGACTTACTGAAGCAGGAAGATGCTCATTGGTGTATGCAGAATCCCCAGGAAGACACAGGTACAATCCCAGAACGATCAAAGTATGCTAAACTTGAAACTCAAAGACCTATATGACAGCCCTTCAGGCCCAATAAGAACCAATTAATTATTGCATTTCAAAAAAAGTGTTTGAAGTCTCAGGCTGTTAGAATAATGCCTCTAATATAAGAACTGGAACGTGATTTGGATTCCAGCAAGCTGGCACATCAGACAGAGGAAACCGCAAGTAGGTAATACATCACAAGCTGTCAATCATCTCAAGAGTCTCTGGTCACCCCATTTTCTGTAACTCAAAAATATGGGGTGAGGGGGGAGATCCCACCATCAGTGGTGGTCATCCCAGATTTGGAACACAAGAACAGCCTATTCTGGGGGCTTTGACTACCTCCCTAATGTTACCCAAGGAGGAACCAGAATGCCTCTCATTTGGACACACAGTAAAGACCAGAGGACTTCAGGAAGCGAACAGCTTAAAGTTGGCTAGAGGTACTGCTACCAAGCTAAGGCTCAGTGCTGCAGCATCTCCTTCCTGAGATGTTCCCCTGATGAGGACACCTCCTCTGAACACTGTAAGGAAAACAACTATACGTATTTCAGACAGCCCAGCAGTCAGAGTATGGCAGATGGGGAACCCACCAGAGCCATGAACATCCCAGCTGATCCCAGTTCCTGGAACCCCACCCCCATCCCCTCTGCTTCCTTACGAAGCCAGCTAAGTGGGTTTGGGAAGCAGAGACCGTGGTGTGATGGGTGTCAGTTAAAAGCAAGAAGAGCCCTCAGAGGAACAAGCCAGTGAAACAATGCCAAAGGTCCGTCCGGGGAGCAGACTAGTTTTAGTATACGTGCTGCTTAAGCGGGCACTTGTGGAGGAGACTTTAAATTACATTCCAACAGGGAGAACACAGCAGGATGTATGACCAGGGAGACCTAGGAGTCTGTTTTCCACTTATCATCAGGGTACTCTGGGTCTCTGAGTCCCCTTTCCTCATATGTGAAGTGAGGATAACCAAAGCAATACTCCCCCTTACAGCCTGGGGAGACTGTTTCAGAGGACAGCATTCAGTGGCTTTATTTTACATCAAGAACACTTTACAGAGCACTTCACAGACGTGTTCTTAGGACTGCCATTACTATTTTGAAGCAAGCAAGCAGCAGAACCATAAAGAAGGTGAACCTAGAGCTCCTTGGGGCCGTGGGCAGTCAAACAAGTGGTCACACATTTCACACAAGTCAAGCCACTCTTCCTAGTCCGCTCCCCAGTGGGAAAGATAAGGATGAAAGATGACTTGCCAAGAGTGAGAGTGCCTGGTTTGGGTCTAGAAAGTACAGCTGTAAAAACCTACAAGGCTGGGAGGTGTTCTTGAGAAACAGATAATGTTTCCAAAAATTTCCTCAAAGTGTGTTCCACTAGATAGTAGTACCAAGAAGAATTTGGTGGTGAAATCAGTGTAGGCATAGGCTTCCTCACCCAGGCCTTTTCTGAGACCTTAAAATGAATTTCCCATGAGGACGTGGGATGCAGGATGAGTGAAATTTATTTAACAACAGAGCCCCTTTTCCATAGAACATCTATCAAGGTGTTTCTTGAAACCTACCTTGGGAGTTAAACTCTCCAGTAGGGCAGAAGCTTGTATGGGCACATGGACCAGGTGAAAAAGGAAACAATACTGTGTTGACATTCAGTCAACACTCAACACCTGCTGGACAGTTTGGAAAAAGGGGAAATCTGTTGTTTAACCACGGAACTGAAAGAGTGTCACATTTTCCCTGAACCACCCTAATCCCAGACCCTCCAGATCCACCAGCTACACAACCCTGCACTCCACAGTCACATACATTAAATCTACACTTTTATTTTTTTGTTCTAAAATGTGCTTTTTCTGTCATCGAACTTTAGTATCAGTCCAGGACCTCCACCACCCCTTAAAAAAAAACAACACACGCACACAAACACACACGCCACCCTCCAACCAGGTGAAAAATCCCCGGCGATTAGTTTATAACAAATATTGACACAAGGGGGAAAAAAAGCATGTTGAAATGTATTAGAATCAGAACCTGTACAAAAAAAAAAATTAAAATATAACCTGAAACTGTTCAAGTTCAGAAAGGCTAGTCAAGTCCTTTTCTCTTGCCAGGAGAATGCCATCATCAGAGGGCTCTGGGTCATCAGCCAAGGAGGGGTGGAAAGAGAGACAGAAGCAGCAGCAGGTCCTTCACCAGACAGAGGGCCCTCGGCACTACCATCCCCAGCTTGGACGTCGCTGGGAGGGATAAAAGATCTCGGGAGAGCAAGTGTCGGCAGACAGTCCCTTGCAGCAGCTGGGACCTTCACACTGAAAACCAGTCTGAGGAGTCAGGTGGCAGCAGGAAGCATGGCCAGCAAAGAACACCAAACCGGAAGAAACTTCTGCCACCCAACAGACCCGTAGCACCCTCCACTGGTGCTCACATACCAGAGGTTAGTCAACCCAGTGCTCCCAACTAATGAGAGATTGGAGCTGGGCTTAAGAGGCTGAAAACCCGCAGGTTTAGTAAACATAGCCCAGCATCACATCCCTCCGTGGCCTGATCGGAGCTGCCAACAAGGGATAAGGCAGGAGAGGGAAAAGAAAGCATCTGATACCCGGCTAGAGGTCACCTGCACCAGTGTGGGCCTGTGGTACTTGGGGCTGGAGAAGGCAGACCCTCCTCCCCAGAGAGAAGCCTCCTTCACCGTCATCCCTGTGGGCCGGCTGAAGCTGCCTCCGGCTTATGACCAGCCTGACAAAATGACATGGAGCAAAAGAAAAACTGGGAGGGAGACAGCCCTTAAACAAACACAAGAACCTCCTGGAGGGAAGCTGGGCAGTGTCTGACCCTGTTGGGATGGCATCAGTGGAGCCCCTGAGTCTGAAGGAACAACTGGGGGAGGAGAGGATGGGTGAGGAGGATTAACGGTTCTTCTGGAACAGTACCAACAGGGTGGGAGGCGCTGGTGAGGGGACGGGCAGGTCTGGAACTCACTGAAGGTAGAGAGGGGAGGAAATAGGCCCTCGGTGTCCCCTCCCCACCTGACCCAGGCCTGGTGAGTGCCAGCTGCCCCAGCCGGCCCTAGTGGCGGCTGGAGACCAGACCTTTCACTTTGGACATCTTCTTGGTGGGCTGCCTCTGCTCAGCGTGAGGAGGACACTCCCGTTCAGCCAACTGTTGCTCCATCTCCTGAGCCGAGGAGGAGGCGGTGGCTTTGAGTGTCTTCTTAATGTTGGTAACCTGGAGGGAGACACGGAATCAGTGTGCTCAGCCTGTAAGTGCCGAAAACTCATTGAAACTTGTTCACACCATACTGGGGCCACCCAGGGAAGAAACCAGAATCCTCTATAAGAAAATCAGTGATTATCTTTAGAAAGCCAGATGAGGAGAAGCAAGCAGGGACTGCTCGTAGAAGACAGATGGAAATGAGTTTAGCAAAAAATGGAACTAACACTTCCTTGGCTGAAAAGAGGGACTAAGCGAGAGGAAGTGGACCATCGGGCAAAGAGGTACCACACAGCAGGTGAAAGAAAGCACTGGTTCAAATGGCCTTAGAAACAGAAAGGGGGCCCTAACAATGCTATAGTCAGTTAACCACTGTTCATGTATGAAACTAAAAATATTTTCACAGGCACTTTGGGAATACAGCTGCATGAGCTTTCTTGAATAAACAACCAGAGGATGGACTTCAGCCAACCAAGTGATAAATGATGAAAACACAGTACCAGGACTGGTAAAACAGGATTACACTGGTCTTCGGCACACGTTTCTTTACTTAACAAAGGAGGGCTTGAAATTACTGAAGCAACTTCTGAACATTTTCCACATTCCACACATCCTTGGTATCATCTGTGTACTGTTACGAATGTTTTACAATTTTCTTAAATTAGTTCCCAGCTTGCTTTTCATTTACATGCAGTGCTGCCAAGAACAGTCTTCTATGTTTACCTGTTCGTACTCTTGTGAACAGCTCTGGAAGACATATTCCTAGAAGTGAGCTTCCCAGATCACAGGGTTGACACGTTTTACATTTTAACATCTCCTGCTCTCTTGCCTTTTGAAAAGAGATCACTTCATCTTGTACTTCTACCAGCTGTGCCCTCTCGTGCCTGTTTACACACACATTCGCCAACACCAGTTCTAAAGAATCTTTTATGCTTTTGTCCCTCAGCCAGCTGAGAGGAAGGAAAGAGGTAGGAAAAGCATTGGAAAGAATAAGTGGAGGTAAAGGTGTTTCCCCAGTTTGATGACCCCCATATTCTCTGTGAAGCAGGGAGTCTATAAAGAAGAGAGTCGTCTATAAAAGAAAGGGAATCGTCAGGGTCAAAAGTTCTCAGCAGTCAGAATATCAGGAGCTTGGGTGAGAGGCAGGCCTAATACGGAGAAGAAGCAGTGCTGTGACTGAGGCCAACACCAGGTTCCTGGAAGAGATCTATCATCTGCAAAATGAGCCTTGACTAGATTAAAGCCCAACTTTTATTTAGGTTTGTGTTGTCATTTTGTGATATAGGAATAGCCATGCCCTAAACTGCTATCCTCTCCATCAGCACTACAACCTTCTGGAAAGGAGCATCAACAGAGGACTGCAGGCTGGGACACTGAATACAGAGGGCATCCTAAGTCAAGCGTGGCTTCACCCAGTGTCCTGCCAGTCCAAGACACGCCATCTCGGGGCGCCTGAGTGGCTCAGGTAGCTGAACGTCTGCCTTTGGCTGAGGTCATGATCTCAGGATCCCGGGATCAAGCACTGAGTCACTGGGCTCCCCGCTCAGCAAGGAATCTGCTTCCCCCTCTCCCTCTGTCCCTTTGTTCTTGGTAGATTTGTTTTCAAGTCTACAAACTGCCTTCTATGCACCTCATGCTGGGAAATGATCAGCATCCTACATTAAGTACCCAGATTATACATTTACTTAATGGAAAATGGACAAGGCGCTGGGTTTTGACCGTGTTCCCTCTCTTCTCATACTGGTCTGTTCCAGGTTTTCTAGAAGACTGTCAAGACAGTAGATTGTTGGGGTGCCTGGGTGGCTCAGTGGATTAAAGCCTCTGCCTTTGGTTCAGGTCATGATCCCAGGATCCTAAGATCAAGTCCCACATCGGGCTCTCTGCTCAGTGGGGAGCCTGCTTCCTCTTCTCTCTCTCTGCCTGCCTCTCCACCTACTTGTGATTTCTGTCAAATAAATAAAATCTTTAAAAAAAAAAAAAAAAAAGAAAGTAGATTGTTTTAACTGATGGTGGAAGTGGCCTTGGTCTTTTCCTCAACTTTCTCTCAAATTAATCAGATTATTACCGCCACCTGGAGGCAGCATCAGGCTCTGCCGGCAGAGCAACCACAGCTGCGGTTTTGCAACAGTGGGCCTCTGAGAGCAAAGGCATGTGCACTGGCTCTCTCTTTCTTTGTAATAACTGTAACTTAAGAGCCTACACTGTTCTCTAAGTATTGGTCATGCCTCACCATTAGTCAGTGCCTTCTTTCAACAGATGCCATCTGTCATGGAAATGAACCTGAACAATTCAAAATTCTGAAATTAACAGCATTCATTTTTGCTAGTGAGCACAATCCAAGCCCACCACCTACCACACAATTAGCAACAGTCTGGGCACAGCGGGGCTGCCAGCGGCCATCAGGCTCCTCTCGGGCTACCAACCAGGTTAAGACGGTTTGCTTCATACAGGCTACCCCAGGTTCGCGGGCACATCTCACCCCCAAACTTCACTCGTTTCCATGGTTTAACTTACAGGGAAGAATCAATGGATGAGAGAGAGTGGTTAGCACTTCCTACTCTGCTCAGACATCAATCGCAGCTCAGAGAAGAGACCACAATATTCAAGACAAGGATTACACAGCTTATTAGAGAAGCAGCAGGCTTACAAATACTAATTGTATTTGTCATTGGCTTGTGATAAATTAAATGTAGTTCAGACTTCTTTGGCTAGAAGTAGGGTTAAAAATTAAACAATGCCCTGAACATTCAGACTTGGTATGCACATATATATATGTAAGGGTATGTGTGTACCCAAAATAAATGTGTTCTAGTTGATGAAAAGTGGAGTTGAGCAATCCACAGGCACACAGGGTGTACCAGAAAATACACAGTACAACAAACAACTTGAGCACCTACTATGGGCTAGGCATGTGACAAGGAGCTGGTCTTAGAAAGACAAGTAAGGTTTTATTCTCAAGGAGTACATATAACAGGGTAAGGGAAATCCTCAAATTCCACAAATCCCCCTTTGAAAGGCCCATCTACTTCTTATGTTTCTTTTTTATTAAAGATTTTATTTATTTATTTTGTAAGACAGAGAGAGCACAAGCAGGGGAAGCAATAGGCAGAGCAGGCAGAGGGAGAAGCAGACTCCCAGCTGAGCAAGGACCAACCCCCCCACAACGTGGGACTCGATCCCAGGGTCCTGGGATCATGACCTTAGCTGAAGGCAGGCACTTAACTGACTGAGCCACCCAGGCATCCCTTTTCTTAGGTTTCTTAAGAACGTAACTCTGGGTCCCATTCTGCCATACTCCTGGACACACGACTTAGAAACTTATTAAATACCACGAACACTTCAAGCTCCATCACACTAGAAAAGGACTTCCAATGCCACAATTTTTAGTTTATTGTTCTAAATTCTGAGGTTGCTCCACAAGTGCCAAGGCCACAGGCACATGAGCTCCCATTAACCCAAAGGCAAGAGCCTGTGTTCTGAGATGCTAAATGTGTCCAGAACAACCAGGTGTCACTAAAACCATAATCATACACTTTCTTCACTTACATCTCATCTGCCAAATGTTTTCCCTTCCTTCCTCAACATGAAATTTCATGCATGTTAACAGGTTGTAATATCCACGTGTAGCTTCAAGAGTAAAATGCACACAGTGCACCTACCACATAGCTTCAGAAGCAGAGCGGAACCAGGGCCTCAAAGTCCCGACATGCCTTTACCCCGCTGCACCCCTTCCTCCACCCTTTCACCCATTTTTTTTTTTAAATTTTATTTATTTATTTGACAGAGAGAAATCACAAGCAGGCAGAGAGGCAGGCAGAGAGAGAGCAGGAAGCAGGCTCCCTGCTGAGCAGAAAGCCCGACGCGGGGCTTGAACCCAGGACCTGGGATCATGACCTGAGCCGAAGGCAGCGGCTCAACCCACTGAGCCACCCAGGCGCCCCCCTTTCACCCATTTTTAAGACCCACCCCCAAACTAGTTTCTTTTGCTCTACAGCTGAGAAGTACCTGTGTACCATGGAGTGACAACATTCTCCGCTCTCCGAGCCTGTTCACCCTATGCAACCAGGAATCAGAAAGGAGACAGTGCGAAAAGCAGGGACCATGTCATCCACATCTGTACCCCACTAGCCCAGTGCTTGTTTGTTGGTGGCTGGTGCACCTATACCAGAATCACAAAATGAGCAAACAGGGATCCCTGGAGCTGGTAAGAGATGTCCTCTTTCTTACCTCTGCCTCTACCTGCTGCTGAGTTCGGCTGTGGTTCTCCTTGTACTGGTTGGCTCGCAGAACTTGCTGCTCGATGCCTAGCAGAACTGCTTCGCAGCCATCGCACCTACAACAGAGATAACCAGCCCTGAGCCACAGAAAGGCCTGGGAGCTCTCCTCCAGTCTCTAAAACCTCCGTCCCCAACTCCTGATAGGGACTTCCTTTAACACCCTGTCTGCCAAGGAAGACTCTTGCCCTTCACTCTTCCCAAGACCAGTATTTCTGATGATACAGGGCACCTGGAGACACACAGTTTCCTAGAACACAGCTTGAATGTCAACTTTTGTATCCCATGAGAAAGGTTTATAGAATGCACCCCACTAAGGGAATTAGGACAGATCTTATAGGTGGCATGGATTCACCACTTTTCTCAACAGAAAAAATGATATTCTAAAAGCAACCTATTTTATTTTTTTAAATATTTTTAAAATTTTATTTATTTGACAGAAAACGAGAGAGAGAACAAGCAGGGGAAGCAGCAGAGGAAGGAGAAGGTGGCTCCCCACTGAGCAAGAAGCAGGAAGTGTGGGGCTTAATCCCAGGACCCCGGTGATCATAACCAGAGCCAAAGGCAGACACTTAACTGACTGAGCCACACGGGTACCCCTAAAAGCATCCTATTTTAAACATTGGCCCTTTTCTCAGAAGTTTGTTACTTCTGGGACGCCGGGGTGGCTCGGTCAGTTGAGCATCTGGCTCTTGATTTTTTTTTTTAAGATTTTATTTATTTGAGAGAGAGAGAGCGCACAAACAGGGAGAAGGGTCAGAGAGAGAGGGAAAAGCAGACTCCCTGCTGAGCAGGGAGCCCAATGCAGGGCTCGATCCCAGGACCCTGAGATCATGACCTGAGCCAAAAGCAGACACCTAACAGACTGTGCCACCCAGGCGCCCCCTGGTCCTTGATTTAGGCTCAGGTCATGAGCTGAGGTCACAGGATTGAGCCCTGCATGGAGCTCCATGCTCAATGCAGAGTCTGTTTGTCCCTCTACCTCTGCTCCTCCCTCTGCTCCTCTCTAAAATAAATGAATAAATAAAATTGTAAAAAAAAAAAAAGTTTGTTACTTCCTAATTGTCATTCCCCTCATTACTTTATTTCCCCACTTTTATTTTGAAAATGTTAAAAGCTAAAAAAAAGTTTAAAGAATAGTACAGTGAATACGCATTTACCCTCTACCTCAAAGTCTAACTGCAACATTCTGCCGAATCTGGAGTACTGCTCTCCCTAACAGTTTTGTTTCAAATCTACTCCAGTGCCTCCCTCAACACAAGCTCTAAGAATCTGTACTAGAAACATCCTGGGATGCGGTTAGGATGGCACCTTCGGGTGGAAACCCACTGAAGCGAGGCAACTATAGGCATGAAAACAGCATCGGTCATCTCAAAGATGGAGTAAGGCAGCCGCCACAGTAGGACGGGAGGCCGAGATTTGCATGCTATGGCACTTCCCTCGAGGAGTGTTTTCTAAGTTTATTTCCTATTTATTCTGACTGAACGCTTTTATAATCTTTTGAAAGTTCCTGCCTGTGTCAGATGTTGTAAAGGGAAGGTGCTTGGGGCCACACTTGGGACAGAACCTGGGGTAAGGGTTGGACAGCACACGCCCTGCAGTCCAATAGCAGCTGAAGTGAGGGAAACTTGGATGGGTCTGGACAGGGGGTCAGGGAGTCAAAGCTGGGCCACTCATACCTGAAATGTTTCAGTCTATTTTATTTTCTTAAGTTTTTATTTATTTGACAGAGAGAGAAAGCAAGAGAGGGAACACAAGCAGGGGCAGTGGGAGAGGGAGAAGCAGGCTTCCCGCTAAGCAGGGAGCCCAAAGCGGGGCTCGATCCCAGGGCCCTAGGATCATGACCTGAGCCGAAGGCAGATGCTGAACGACTGAGCCACCCAGGTGCCCCTGCATATGCCTCTTTATGTAACACTTCCAAGATGTGGGCAGCACCTGAATCCAGTTCCCTAACCGTCTACACACAACTTGCCTGCACTGCTTCATGATTTCCAATACCACGTGCCTGCCTGGGGACATGCTCTCCTCACCTCCAACTAGGCCCTAACCTTGCCCTCCTTCAAAACTCACCTAAAACCTCTCCTCCAAGTAGGCCCATATGGCTTTATAAACTCCAAATCATTTTTATAGCACGATAACAAATCCTTGGAGAATGTCCAAAGCTCTTGCAAACATTAAATTCCATGAAAATAGACAACATGCAAAAAAAATAAAATAGAGAACATGCAAATGTCCCACTTCTTTTTAAATACCAGAATATGATCATCAAATAGTCTATGTGTGCATCTGTGTTCCCATTTCAGATAACCCACTCCTTGTCTTCACTACCCCTCACGTTTTACCAATACTAGCCCAAAGTTACTGACACTGAACGTGGGTTCTCATATCCATGGAATCTGAGCAACACTAACTTCCTGAGCTTGGTCAGACTTGGAGGCTGAGTGTGCAAAGCACTGGATCTGTGTCACACGGCTAGGCTTCAGAGGCTCCACCTGCCAAGCCTGCTATTAAATAGCTCCCTGCAGGAATTTCTGTGGCCACACAGCTCTGGCCCCCAGTGCAGCCCCACTCCCTGGCTTAGTGTCCTAAGGCTCCAGCACCCACGCAGCCCCAGCTGATAATGGGAGACAACAGTTCCCGAAGCAGAGGCACAAAGGGCATGCCATACGTCCCCTTCCCTAATGAGAGGTGACCCCTCCTTTTTTCAGCCTCACCATTCATGCAAGGTCTTGACAATATTATTGATATCCTTCTTTCGGATGTCACGGCCAATGCAGAAATCCACTTCCAGCAGCTGGTTTCGCTGGTCCAGCTTCCCCTGGATGATGTCAGTGTAGACAGCCTCGATGATGAGGTCTTCTAGTTCCCGGAGATTCCGCATCTCCAGGTCCTTCAGCAGCACGGAGTAGGGGATACACTGCAGATAAAGCCATGCGGTATTTATAAAAACCATTGACAAGGGCTAAGGAAAACACAGATGTACACCTGTCTCAGGGATTTGGGAAATGCAGCCTGGTGGTTAATTATTAATATCTATGGCAACAAGACTTAGATAAATGTGAGTCCTGGACTTCACCCAGCCTTTAGCTTTCATATTGTGAAGCACTCTTAGAAAATGTTGCAGAGTGACGCCTGGGTGGCTCAGTTGGTTAAGCATCTACCTTCAGTTCCGGTCATGATCCCAGCGTCCTGGCATCAAGTCCCACATCGGGCTCCTTGCTCAGTGAGGAGCCTGCTTTTCCTCCTGCCTGCTGCTGCCCCCACTGCTTTGCATGCGCAATGTCTCTCTCTCTGACAAATAAATAAATAAATCTTAAAAAAAAAAAAAGTGTCCCAGAGAAGAATGGGAAATACTCCGTGTGTGCCACTATGCCACCTTCTGGAAGCTTGCAGACGTGACATAAAATGCCAGATCACCAAACTCTGAACAATTTCAGACACTGGAGAGGAGAACCGGCTGCCTGCTCAAGAGTGCACAAGCAACAGATTTGCAGACTAACATATCCACCTACTGGTGGCCAGTGGGTACTGGTGGCCAGTGGGTACTGCCAGCTCAGGGGTCATCCTGAAGTTTACATCTGTTTTCTCTGACTCTTGCAACCAGTGTCAATTCCCCAACAACAGTCCCTTACTGGGCTATATCAACATTCTGCATTTATCCAAGACAAATGTATACCTAGATATCCAGTTTTCTGGACACACCAATTCTAGTTTGGAAGTTAACACAGCCATCAAATCTCAAAAACAGACAGGAGGAAGAGGTATACAAACAAGAGATTAACAGTTAACCCCCTAGAGGGGGTTTCTATGACTAAAGGTCTGAAACCCAGGGATGTGGATGGGCTTATAATGACAGGTTGCAAAAATAAGGAAAAAAGTTACTCCTACTCTTTGCTACACTTGGGAAGTCCATGATCAGGCCAAAAAAAAAAAAAAAAAAGGTTAGGTTCTCCTTTCCTAAGAAAATAGGCCCCCTACCTGAAATGCCAGACTGAGAATCAGAAATCTGGCATCAGACCAGGGAAATGGTCTCAGCAACTGAAACGGCAATGCAAAAACAAATCCCCATCTCTCGAGCTCAGTCACAGAGGGGGATGCAAAGGGCAAACTTCTTCCAGTGGCGAAGACCCTCAAAAACTTGGGACAGTTATGCCAGGATTGGGCAGAGAACCAAAATCAACTGTAAATTAACCAAATCTGGCTCTTCTTTGTTAATGGCTAGGAGAACCTGACTGCAAGGCCTCTTCTAAATCGAGTTAGGCAGAGAACTCAGATACAATGGAGTGGTTATTTTACAGAAGGTTAGCATCTAGATGGCATATGGGCGCCTGGGTGGCTCAGTGGGTTAAGCCCTGCCTTCGGCTGAGGTCGTGATCCGAGGATCCTGGGATCAAGCCCTGCATTGGGCTCTCAGCTCAGCGGGGAGCCTGCTTCCCCCTCTCCCTCTGCCTGCCTCTCTGTCTACTTGTGATCTCTAATAAATAAATAAAATCTTTTTAAAAAAAATTAAGATAGCATACAAGGCAAAAATCCTAATTAAGATAATTAAGCTTGATAATCCCCAGAAGGCAGCATATTAAAAATCTAGCTCTCAGGAAGTCGAACAGAGCAAGTTTTTCCTCCAGCACCAGGTTCACAGTGCACTAAGCAACAGATGAAGGGGCTAACTTGCCTTGAGATGCCCCCATTTGAAAACTACCTATCTTGAAACGGCAGTCTCCCTTTGGTATGGCAAAATGTTCACACCCAGTGAGTCACCGCAACATGCCAGAACTGAGACCTGCTGATTCACAAGGTCTCCTGGGCATACTTTTCCTGAAAGAAATGGTGAATACTTATCTACACTATTTTAATTGTTATCTTTATCTCTGTCACCCTTTGCCAAGCCGATTTTATGCATTCATGGTATGACTACTGTGCAACAGCTGGGAGCTCATGCACCGATGCCAGTGCGACACCTGCCTGAGGGTGAGGAGCAAGAGAGGAAGAGGTTCGGCACTGTACCTTCATTCTCGACGCCAAGCTCACGATGGTAAGGTGTTTCAGCTTGTTCTGCTGAGCTGTGCTCAGTTCTGGCAGGCTCTCCTTGTTGGCTGCTCAGGCCCACCCACCACAAGAATCAAGACACAAAATAAAATTAGAATTGCTTTATGGACTAAGATTACCAACTCCCCACACCAAATCTACTATTGATTCACTGTCATGACGCTGCACTTATTCATGAAGCAAATGTTCCACGAGCATCTCCTGTCTTCTCCAGAAGACCACGTATGCCTGAAAAGCCAGGCATGAATGCACAAACGATAAGACAATCACCTGAATGGAATACTATCTGTGCCCTGTGTGACACTCAACCAAGGTCAGCATGTCTTCACTGGGAATCTGTTATATGCTATGCTGGGTCTTAAGTGATTCAGGGAAGTTAAGGATAAGATGGGCCTTGTCAGTCCACCAGACTTGTGAAACTCAAGGGCCTTGGACTTGCCCTCAGTCTTACAATTGGGTATTTCAACAGCTTCAGATGGAAGACAGAACCACTGGAAGAAAGGTACAAACTACTAGGAGAGAAAAAGAGGCTGAGGGGGAGGGAAGAAGGAGAGAAAAGGAGAAAAAAAAAAGAAAGGGAGAGTACAAGTGAGCGGGATCATCCTGGGAAGGACAGGAAAGGAAAAGAAAGATGGAGTGTGAGATGAGCCTTAAAGAATGGGCAAAATTGTAGTAATAACAGTAGTGATGGGGTGCCTGGATGTCTCAGTCGTTAAGCATCTACCTTTGGCTTGGGTCATGGTCCCGGGGTCCTGGGATCAAGCCCCGCATCGGGCTCCCTGCTCAGCGGAAAGCCTGTTTCTCCCTCTCCCACTCCCCCTCCTCGTGTTCCCTCTTTCACTGTCTCTCTCTGTCAAATAAATAAATAAAATCTTTAAAGAAAAAAAAAAAAAAAACAGTAGTGATAGCAACAGCAATGGCAGCAGCCGCAGGGCACATGTACACACATACCCAGTCAGTCCTCACAACAACCTCTCAAGAAAGATCCCAAATGCCTTCAATTCCTTATCCATAATCCTGGATTCCAAAAAGGTGAATCCAAGCTGTCTTTTTCTTGGGCGTGCTGCTGAAATTCATCTGGTGCCAATTCCTGACCTCAGTGAAGCAGGCTTTTAAACCCACTTGTTGTACAACTTCATTTGTTTAGTTCCAAACTGTGGATGCAACTAAATACTGGATACAGGTGCTGCCCACATCTTGGAGGTGTTACAGAAAAAGGCATATGCAGGGGCGCCTGGGTGGCTCCGTCTGCCTGTAGCTCAAGTATGATCCCAGGGTCCTGGGATCGAGTCTTGCGTCAGGTTACCTGCTCAGCGGGGCGTCTGCTACTCCCTGTCTCTCTCATTCCCCTCCTCATGCTCTTTCTCTCTCTTGCTCTCTCAAATAAATAAATAAAATCTTTTTTTTTTTTAAACATTTCAGGATGTGTCTGTGAATGTGTTTCTTTTTTTTTTTAAGATTTTATTTATTTATTTGACAGAGAGAGATCACAAGTAGGCAGAGAGGCAGGCAGAGAGAGAGAAAGAGAGGGAAGCAGGCTCCCTGCTAAGCAGAGAGCCCGATGTGGGGCTTGATCCCAGGACCCTGAGATCATGACCTAAGCCGAAGGCAGCGGCTTAACCCACTGAGCCACCCAGGCGCCCCTCAAATAAATAAATAAAATCTTAAAAAAAAATAAAACCCAGGGACACCTGGGTGGCTCAGTGGGTTAAGCAGCTGCCTTCGGCTCAGGTCATGATCCCGGCATCCTGGGATCGAGTCCCACATCAGGCTCCTTGCTTGGCAGGGAGCCTGCTTCTCCCTCTGCCTCTGCCTGCCACTCCATCTGCCTGTGCTTGCGCTCACTCCTCTCTCTCTCTGACAAATAAATATTAAAAAAAAAAAACAGCATATATATCATATTACCTCTTTAGAATCCCCAAAATTCTAAATTCTGAAGCATCTAGCCCAAGGAGGTCAGGTAAATGATTGTGGACCTCTATTATTACCCCCACCTGACAGATAAGGAAACTGAGGTAGAGATCATTTAATTTGCCAAAGGACCCATAAGTAGAGGAAGTGGAGCTACAATATAATTCAGGCAGTCTGGTTCCAGAGTCTGTGCAATGTTGTCACTTTAGTGAGGATGGAAACAGAAGACACACTCATTGGAACAAAGCAAAGGTCAGGATACACTAACACGTGGCAAACTGTCCAGATGATATAGCACAGGGTAGGTACAAGTGACCAGGAGGAAAGAAAGGGAAAAAGAAGTCTGGGATATAGTAGGGAAGGCCCTGAGTCATACCATTAAAGTAAACTAAGAGGCCCTTGTCATATCAACAAAAACTAGGGAAGCCAAACAAAAATGGCTTGGGTGGAAGGTAAGTTACTGTTTAGAAGTGCATTCACCTTATTCCTGATACTTAAGATCCTAATACAAAATGACTCAAATAACCAAGGCCCCGGCTGGCTCAGTCTGTGGAAAGTGTGACATTTGATCTTAGGGTCATGAGTTTGAGCCCCACTTTGGGTGCGGAGATTACTTAAAAATAAAATATCTTAAAAAAAAAACACACACACACAAAAAACCTCTAAAAAAAAAAGGAGAAAGAGAAGGAAAAAAAGATTCAAATGACCTACAAAAGAGAATGGGCCAAATATGGAGTTTTAGATTATAAAATGTTAAAAATGACTAGAAAAATGTAAAATATGAGAAAATGCCTATGAAGTAAATGAAAAAAGACACAGTATCGTATACAAACTAAATGACACCTACATAACAGAAAGCACAAGGGGCAAAAGTCCAGCACCATGACGCTAACAGTAGTTTAATGGTGATCAACTGCAAGTGACTTCGTGTCCTATTTTCCAAATCTTCTTCAATATAGTGACATTATTCTGATAATATTTAAAATACTTGAGTACTTTACAGGTGGGTATCCTGACACTTCACAATATTTCAAGTGTTCTACAAACACCAGTCCTTAAGAATCTCATCTGGAAAATAAGGACTATATTTACACATAAGCATAAACATAGTCCCTCTTTTACCCACAGAGAAAAATAAAGGGTGAGAGATAAAGACCTCACACAAGGTAACCTACAATGCAGAATAAAGTGGGAAACAGCCAGGTAAGAAAGTTCCCACCCCATGCTTTATATCCCAGACCCTAGTGATCCTCACGGAGGCAGTATGTCCAAACAGAGTGACATAATTAAGAAAAGTCTTTGGAAGATCTTAACCAACTCACCTATGTAATCTGGGTATGTTCCATAGGCAAAGAGGTTCAGCAACTGCAAATATGCAGCATTAGCTCCTTCCGCAAGCTGAGGAGGGAAAAAACCAACAACAGTTCATAGACCAAGCTGTCTACCAGTCACCACAGTGTTCAAGCAAAGGGTGACAGTCATGTGCCATGGCTGACTGTTTTACTAGATGGTCCCTGAGGTCCCATCCAACTCTGTTCTTTGGGAAAAAGTAAGTAAGATTTATTTAATTTTAAATTTAACTTTTCTCTCTCAGGAACACATGTTTTGCACTCCACATAGCATGCCTAAGTAACTGCTTTTGACACACACACACAGACACACACAGCAGTGAGTACTGGAAGCAGTTCAGGTTTTCTTAGAATTTCCATGCCATTAAGATAAAGACTGGAGAGGCACCTGGGTGGCTCAATCGGTTAAGCGTCTGACTCTTGATTTCCACTCAGGTCATGATCTCGGGGTCTTGGGATCAAGCCCCACATTGGACTCCACACTCAGCGAGCGGTCTGCTTGAGGATTCTCTCTCCCTCTGCCCCTCAACCCCCCCTAAAATAAATAAATCAATCATAAAACAAAACAAAAAAACAAAGACTGGAGCAGCCCTGTCTACACAACTGGGTTGACAGGTACAAGTAACAAGCCACTATCAGTCCATACTGAATGAAGTGTAGGGTAGGTTCCAAATCATTTCAGAATTATGTGAATTCTGAATAGTAGTGAGTGCTGGGAAAGATTAGCACAGCATAAAGTGTGACAGAACAGTCCATGTGGGACTGGAAACCACAGTATCAAGCAGTCCCAAATAAAAATGTTCATTAAAATTACTTAGACCTTAAAAAAAAAAATTACTTATTCCTCCCTAATGTGAATGGCGAAGAGCCATCTGCAGAAGTAAAACAGACACAGATAATCTTCTGCCTGGAGCCGCTCTGCTCTGCTGGCAGTACTTAACTGGGTGTTTCTTTTACTCACAAATATGTACCCACTGCTCTTTTAATTTATCAAACTCCATAAAGCAGTACTACCAAGGCAGTATTCTGTGGACACCAATAATACTACTACTTAATTTAAACCATCGTTTAAAAAAAGAGTTTCCAAGGGGCACCTGGGTGGCTCAGTCAGTTAAGCATCTGAATCTTGATTTCAGCTAAGGTCATGATCTCAGGGTCATGACATCAAGCCCCACATCAGGCTCCACACTGGGCAAAGAGCCTGCTTAAGATTCTTTCCCTCTCCCTCCACCCCACCCCACCCCCACTCTCTAAAACAAATAAATTTTTTTAAAGATTTTATTTATTTGACAGAGAGAGAGAGAGCGATCAATCACAAGTAGGCAGAGAGGCAAGGCAGAGAGAGAGGGGGAAGCAGGCTCCCCACTAAGCAGAGAGCCCGATGTGGGGCTCAATCCCAGGGCCCTGAGATCATGACCTTAACCACTAAGCCACCCAGGTGCCCCTAAATAAATAAATCTTAAAAAAAAAAAAGTTCCCAAGAACTACAATCATTTTAGACCACTGAAAAGCAACTAGGGTTTCCAGCTCACACATGGAAAAAAAGATAGAGCAAGAGAGTGGTGATTCGCTCAGCACCCCCATGAGAACTCTGGCTTCCTACTAACCCAGTCTACCTTCTCAGGTTATAAGAACCTCTGAGGTCCTGAAACAGATCAGGAAGAGACCATCAAATCTAGCCCCTACTTTTCAGACAGATGATTACAAAACTAATCCTAAAAGACTATTTTCTTTACAGCAGATACTCCACAACTTCTCCCACTGGCCTAAATCAATGTCTTTCTATTTTAATTCTCATCCATCTCCTCTCAGCCCATCTTTCACAGTTATGGAACAACTACTTGAATGAATATTCATTCAGGTTTTTTATGAACCTGAAGGAACATATTACCCCTTTGTCATCTCTTCTGTTGAAAAAATAATGAGCCATCAAGCCATAAAAAGACATGGAGAAAATTTAAATGCATATCACTAAGTAAAAGAAGCCAATCTGAAGTGGCTATATACTGTACAATTCCAACTATATGACATTCTGGAAAAGTCAAAACTAGGAAGAGGGTAGTCAGATCAATGGTTGCCAGGGAGTAAGAGGGGAAGGAGGGATGAATAGGTGGAACACAAAGGATTCATAGGGCAGTAAAGCTACTCTGTATGATACTTTAATGGTGGACACATGTCATTGTACATTTAGCCATACCCACAGAACGTACAACACCAAGAGTGACCCCTAATGTAAATTATGGGTGATAACAATGTGTCAATGTAGGTCCCACACTGGAGGGGTGACATGGGTAATGGGGGAGGCTATCCATGTATGAGGGCAGGGATATACTGGAAATCTCTGTACTTCCCTCTCAATTTTCTGTGAATCTAAAATTGCTCTAAAGGGGTACCTGGGTGGCTCAGTGGGTTAAGCCTCTGTCTTTAGCTCTGGTGATGATCTCAGGGTCCTGGGATTGAGCCCCGTGTAGGGCTCTCTGCTCATCAGGGAGCCTGTTTCCCACCCACCCCCGCCTCCCTCTCTGCCTACTTGTGATCTCTCTCTGTCAAATAAATAATAACCTTTAAAAAAATGAAAAATAGGGACTCCTGGGTGGCTCAGTGGGTTAAAGCCTCTGCCTTCGGCTCAGGTCATGATCCCAGGGTCCTGGGATCGAGCCCCTCATCGGGCTCTCTTCTCAGTGGAGAGCCTGCTTCCTCCTCTCTCTCTGCCTACTTGTGATCTCTGTCTGTCAAATAAATAAAATCTTTAAAAATATTAATAATAAAAATTAAAATTAAAAAATGAAAAATAAAAAAATAAAACTGCTCTAAAAAGAAAGTCTGTTTAAAAATAATAAAGCTAGTTTTAAAAAAATTTCCTCAGGATTTCTTTTACATCTCTGGCAAATTAAATTTTCACTAAAAGCCTACTGTGTGTCAGACTACATATTAAGCACTAAGAAAACAATGGGGAGCACAACAGACCTTACCCTTACAGAGCTTACAGTCTAATAAGCAAGGCTGACATTAAATAAAAATTCATGGGATGTCTGGGTGGCTCGGTCGATTAAGCATCCAGGTCTTGATTTTGGCTCAAGCCATGAGCTCAGGGTTGTGAGATAGAGCCCGGGTGTGGAGCACACTTAACATTCTCTCTCTCCAAGCCCCCTCTTTAAAAAAAAAAAAATCACAATTAGAACATAATAGTGGCTCTTTCTGTCTCTGTTTTTTACAGGAAGCCAAAATGACGCCAGGTCAGCAATGGAGGGTCATGGGGAACTGCTCCAGTTTCCTAATCAAGAGGAAGAAGATGTACAGCAGTGAGTCCCAAAACCCGAAGGTCCACACCTCTGCCACCAGGTGCTGATTCACAAGGTTATGGACATGGAGCCAACAACTGATGGCAAAGGTGTCCTAAAGGTCACAAAGTGAAGAACCAGCCAGCAAAAGTCAGCCACTTCCTCGATGTCGGCCACCATCGACACGAACGCCCAGGCCACCCCCAACAGCATGGTGCACACAATCCGTGAGAACGAGCACCACAGTCATCTGCATGTGGCAGCCGCCCCCAGAGCTAGCACCACCCCAGGCAGCCAGAGAGAAGCTGTGACAGGAGAGCGGAAGCTGACCCACCCTCCAACAACTTCAGAGCACAATCCCCAAAGGAGTAAAGATGCTGCCAGACTTTTCAATCAATATAAAAGTATGAATCAATAAATGTAATAGCATCCAAAGTGAGAAGCAGATGTTGAAAAGTACAGGATGCTTTACATCTCTTCGTTCGACCTAATCGTTCTTCACCAACCTTCTCATTTTTTTATAATTTTTTTTTATTTTTTTATAAACATATAATGTATTATTAGCCCCAGGGGTACAGGTCTGTGAATCGCCACAACCTTCTCATTTTTAAGGCACAACAACCACAACTAGACACCCCCAGTTTCAATAACAACAATCAAAAATAGAAGCAAACAAAGCAAAAAGGACTACTTTCCAGCTTTTCATGTCATATTTTACACATATTACACAAATGCCTGAAACTACCTCTGTTAAATATCAGCTATGCTTATGCTCCACTTTTCTTATTTATCAGGTTCAAGGGGATTTTCCCCCTATCTTTCAAATTATTAGTAACCCAATCTAATTTTACCACAAGTTGAAATGAAAACATTGACCAGGAACCCAAAACATCATCCTTGCTCTTTCCCTCTTCCCGGCCAATTCCCATCCTTCCCTGAGCAGCGCCCCTCACAGGTCCACAATGCTTCAGCACCGAAATTCCCTGGAATCCTGGAAAATCACAGGAAGGTTTAGAACAAAGAAGACAGGGAAATTGTTCGGAAACTGCTCTTACCTCCTGAACATTGGCCAGCTCCAGCAGTTCTCCAAAGACATATACTCCAGGAGCCTCCAACACTTGGCTTATGAGAGCAGTGAGGGCTGAGCCACTGGTACCTTTGGCTAGTAAAATAAACTGTTCCAGGAGATTACTGGAGGGTTTCTGTTCACCTGCCATTCTCTGGCCTTGAGATCTGTCCAAAAGAAAAGGGTTTCAGCCATTCTTTCTTCTCCTTTGCAAAATCTATGCTTATTTAATGCCAGATCAGACATCAGAATACTTTAACTTTATAGTATCCAAAAAAGAAAAACAGTCCAGATGCTATAACCACTTTGTGAGATGGGCAGGGTTCCACCTAGAGTTAAAGGAATTGTGTCCTTGCTCGGAGGTTGAAACACACTTAAGAAAAGCCACTTCATCACCAAGTGGCAGTCTTCCAATACCCGCACCTTTTAAGCCCTTAAACCTCACTAGACCCAAAGAAACACAAAAGAGTTTCTCAGTAGCTCTTCTATATTTACCTCACTTATAGACTGTAGTTAAGAAACAGAGAATTTTGCCCATACACAGAGAAAGCAGATATAAGCAATTGCAATCAGTTACAGCTTACAGTATGTTATTTGAATCCCACCTACAGCCGATACAAATAAGGAAAACTGCAAAAAGACATTAAAGATGTTTTGTTTAATCAAAGAAGTCATTTAAGCCTGGAAAAAGGGAGAAAATCATAATGAAAGATAAGCAACATGTTCAAATTAAGAAAATACATGCTGTCTAAGTCCTTGAGGAAACTCCCCTTATTTGACCTCCTATAGCTATGTGATTTTACCAAACATGACTTCAGAATTTGTACAAAATCTCAAGAAAATAATAAAATGATTTGAGAAAACAATGAAGATATTGTATTGCCATCCTGAAGACATGAGGGGCCAAGGGTCCCTCAATTCTATAATCCACTTACATGCTGAGTGTATGGGAATACACACTGCAGACCTACTCTGCAGGAGTCCTGTGTAAGAAAAGACTACTCCACCAACAACACATTTGGGGGCACTGTGACAAAAAGAAGAGGAGGCAGAGTAAAGTGAAGAAGAGAATAATTCGAACGACAGTTTGTGCAAGAGAAACCAAGTTTTCCTGTGGAGGCAGGCATACAGAGCAGCAGTCCTTCCACAGTATGAAAGAAACAAGCATGTCGACTCACATAGGGTTACATAAGAAATGTCTTGTCCGAAACAGAAAAAGCAAAGCGCTAGGGAAGAAAAGTTGCTGAGGAAGGAAAGGGTAAGAGGAGAGAGACAGGATAAGGCGGGAGAGAGGGGATGGAACGAAAACTTCCCCTCCAAGCTGACACGTGTGGAGATGAATGGAAGGGCCTGGGGTGAAGAGGGAGAAATGGACAGAAACTTTGGTCCCTTTAAAGAAAAAAAGAAAGACAGACAGAAAGAAAAGAAAAAAAAAATCTCGGCCTAAGGCGCAAAGCCTGTAGGGGCAAAGAGTAAGGAAGCGTTGAGAGTCCCATTTTTCTGAAGTGGGAGGGCCACAGACGGCGGCTAAGGACACAGGGGAGCTGAATTCGCGTCTTGCGGGGGCGCTATTTTGATGCACAGTAGAGGGGCAAAGAGGCAGCCTCTGGGGGTGGGAAAGCGAGAAAAACCTCGGTTGAGGAACTGGTTGAGGGTTGCAGGCTGGGGTGGACTTTAAGGCCAGCGGCATTCTCCAGGCAGGGCCGCGGGTGTGGAGTGAGGAGCCGCGGGGCGCGCTCCCCGGGGCGGGGCCGACGCCGTGTGGCCGCGGGCATTCCTGGAGACTGGCGCTAAGCCAGACTGCTGAGACAAGCCTGGCGCGCCGGGCCCCGCCCTCTCGCCGACCCCTACCTGCCCTCGCCGCCTCTCCGTCCTCTCGGTCGCTGGCTCGGCCTCCCGGCGCCTGTCCGCAGGTTGTCAAGCGTCCATGATCGGCCCGGCGTCCGACGCTTTTCTGCCTCCGCCGACCCGTTGGCCTTGCGGCTCCCCCGGAAGCCTCCCGCCGCTGCACTCGAGTTCCGCCCACACTAAGTTCCCCCCGCGGCGTTGGCAGCCTCAGACCTCCAGTGCTGCCTGGGCCTGGGAGAGACAGTCCGAGGTGGGTCGGTCCGAGGTGTGTCGTAGCCCAGGAACCAGGTGGAGAGGAGCCTGAAAAGAGGAATGGAGTCTAGGCAGTGCGGGCGCCCAAACCATCACCATCACCATCCTGGGCCCGAAATACACTGCTTTGGTCGAGCTTTACCTCTCAGGAGCTCCCTACAGCAGCTGCGGCTACCCCGGGATACAAAGACATATTAAGTGTAATAACAACTCCCGTTTATTGAGCGTTTTCCCATGTGCCAGGTGTGTACATTGTCTCGTTAAATTACCATAACTCTAAGCTTAAAAATCCAAAAGCTGGTTAAGTGGCAAGGTCGGCTTTGGACCCCGGGCTATGGGAAGCCAAAGACCATATTCGTGACCTCTGTTCAGAAAACGTCTTAAAATAAGAAAGAGATGGGTTGAGCCAACAAAGGTTCTGTGAGCAAAATGACATCGGTGGCTCTCCTGGAAGAAGGCTAAGGAATGCTACACAGCTTAACACTTAAGCTGGTTCCTTTAAAGTACACACCAGAGACTTTTGGGTCTTAAAGCCAAGGAAAAGGTTCTATTTGCTTTTAGTGAATCTGAGTGCAGATCAGACAAATGCAAAGGAGCCTAGCACCAACCCACTGGTTTATTAAAAAACTGTCTTGTTCTAATTTCTATGTTGTAGAAGATTATATAAAGAGAAGAGAAGGTTCTTGCCCTCAAAAAGCTTCAGTGTGGGGGCGCCTGGCTGGCTCAGTTGGTAGAGCATAAGACTTTCAATCTCCAGTCGTGAGTTCAAGCCCCATATTGGGTATGGAGCATACTTTTGAAAAAGGGGGGAAAAAACAAGCTTTCATGTGTTAAGTGCTATGAGGGAGATATGAAAACACTCTGAAAGCACAGAAGAGAGTATGTATGTTGGGGTAGAGAAAACTGGCATCTTCTAGGCAAAAGGGGGAAGAAAGGACAGCAGACCATAGCATAGAGGCTTACTCCATGTAGCATATACTTACGCAGAGAAGAAACCCAGACTGTCTGGAACCCAAGGTTCAGGGATGAGAAGTGAGGGCTGCAGACCTGGAGTCAGGTCATCAAGAGTCTTGTAAACCACATGCAAGGCACTGCACCCGGTAAAAACCTTAGTACAGTGAAGTTTCTACCTGGGAGAGCACACGGCCCCTGAGAGAGACAGACCTGTCTGGCTATGACAGACAGTTGCCGGTACAACATACACAGTATGACAGCACAGTACCCCAGTGCTACAGATAACAGCTCCCCTGCCTGTGCTCTGGGCAGAGGTGATTTAAGGCACAGTTCTGGAGGAGATGAAGCTTGAGTTGAGCGTGGAAGATGAGCAAGCAAATCACAAAAAGTAAGCATGTAAAGGAGTTTTTATTTTATCTTAAGGTCATTGGGGAGCTACTCGGGGCTTTCAACCTGTAGAGAAGCGTGAATAATTGGCACTTTAGAATGATCACACTAGCTGCTATTGGACTGGATATTGAAAGAGGTGGAGGCAGGGAAACTCTCGGTGATTGATATAGTATAGATAAGGGGCGTGAGATCCTGAACCAAGGCAGTGGCAGTTGCACATGAAAAAGAAGAGACATTGTTGGAGACATTTAGATTATAGATCTATCCCAACTTGGTGACCAGTTGAAGGCAGGAATAGGGAAGGAGGATATCACCCAGGATTATGGCTACGTAGGCCAGAGCTGTCTTGGAGGTGGTGTTAAGTGAATGGGACTGCAGAGGAGAAAAAGCAAATCTGGTAGTGGAGGGAAGACAACTAAGTTCAGTTTGAGTTCATAAATATTCTGGTAGTGCCTCCACTTCCTTCAGAAAAATGTCCAGACTGTGAAAACCCTTCTCAGTATGCTTCCCTCCTATCTTTCCAGCTTTGTCTTGCCCCACCCTCTTACAGTTCGAACTGCAGGCCTTCCCACACCCAACACAAATTGCACCTTCCCTCTCTGACACAGGAGCCTATGTTCAACCTTGCTCCCTGTTCTTTCTTTTGCAATGCTCTTCCCTCCTATTTGCCTGTTAAAATCCTACCAAGCCTGTAGGCAAAGATTTCTTAAATTTAATGCAAAAAAGCACTAATCATAAAAGAAAACACTGAACTATTGTACTACATTAAAATTAAGAATTTCTGTTTATTGAAAGACATCAGTGCGAGACTAAAAAGGCAAGCCACAGACTTGGAAAAGATATTTGTGAAGGCCGTATCAAAGAATTCCAAATCCAAACTTTATAAAGAACTACAAATCAGTAAGAATAAGACGACAAAAAACCCCACTTGAAAAGTGGGCAAAAGACTTGAACAAGCACTTCACAAAAGAGGACACTGAAAGAGTCAAAAAGCATATGAAGGGGCGCCTGGGTGGCTCAGTGGGTTAAGCCGCTGCCTTCGGCTCAGGTCATGATCTCAGGGTCCTGGGATCGAGTCCCACATCGGGCTCTCTGCTCAGCAGGGAGCCTGCTTCCCTCTCTCTCTCTCTCTCTGCCTGCCTCTCTGTCTACTTGTGATCTCTGTCAAATAAATAAATAAAATCTTAAAAAAAAAAAAAAAAGCATATGGAAAGGTGCTCAACACCAGAGACAATGTAAGAAAAAACTATTAATAAGATACCACATTTAGGGGCACCTGGGTGGCTCAGTGGGTTAAGCCTCTGCCTTGGGATCAGGTCATGATCTCAGGGTGCTGGTATTTGAGCCCCACATCGGGGCTCTCTGCTCAGCGGGGTGCCTGCTTCCCCCTCTCTCTGCCTGCTGCTCTGCCTACTTGTGATCTCTCTCTCCCTGTCAAATAAATAAATAAAATCTTAAAAAAAAAAAAGATACCACATTTAGCCAAATACCTCAGTTATAAAGACTTGTAAGACCCTGTTTTGACAAGACTAAGACTCATCTAGAATTTTCTTATATTGCTGGTGAAGGCTAACATTGGCAATATCTACTACTATTGCTGATCATATGCAAACTGTACAAGCCAGCTCCTCCTCTCCTAGAAATGAGTGCAGAGTCTGAAAAAAGAAACCTGTAAGAACACGCACTGCAGCTTTGTTAACAAAAGCCCAAAACTGATAACTGATAACCTAAATACCCATCAACAAACTAGACAAATATTGCTAGATACCTACGACATAATACTAGTGAGCAATTAAAAAAAAAAGTTACTGTTCCATACAACATGGACGAATCTCACAAAAACAACTGATGAACAAAAAAAGCCAGACTCCCAGTGTACTTACTGTATGATTACATTTAAATGAAATTCACGACAAAACTGATTTATGGTAATAGCAGTCAGAAGAGCGGTTATCAGGAAGAGAGGATGCAGTGCCGATTGGGAAGGGGCACAGGGGTGCTGGAAGTGTTCTACATCTTAATTTAGGGGGTGGTGAACACAGGTGTATATGTATAGAAAAACAGTGCCCTTCCTGCGTATGTCATACCTCATTAACAAAAAAATTTAAGATAAAATTTTATCTTAAAAATTTAAGATAAAATTTTTTAACAGAAAAAAAAAAAATCCACCCATCCTTCAAATTCGAATGCCCCCTCCTCCATCAGTTTTGCCAGCTGGAATTAATCTTTCCATCAGAACCTCTGTGGCATTCTGATGACCTTTCCCTTATGACATTTATTGCAGCTCCTCTTGAATCTCAGCAGACTTTCCTTTTTTCCCTAACTAGATGGTTCCCTTCCTGATGACAGTGACAATGCCTTTCACCCTTTACCGGAAACCTGAAAAGGTTCTTTGTTGAATTACAACGGAAGGAAAAATTGGGTGGTTGCCTAGATGGGTGAAAGGGGGATGGGAAGAGGAAGGGAAGCCTAGTAAAAGAGATAGGAAATGTCCAAGGAAACCCTCTCCTACACAATTTTACCTAGTTCCTAAAATCACATTAAATGTCACCTTGACCAACAAACAAAGAACAGATCAAACCACTAAGTTCTTCCTAGACTGAAAATAAACATCACACTCCTTCCCTTGCAGGAAATCCACCAAATGAATGCTTGCCTAACCTCTGGGTGTTTCAACCTGGATGGGGAAACTTCACCAAGGAGAATAATCACATAGCCATGTTGCTAAAAATATCGCCACCTTAATGTGGTGTAAACAGCGCAGACTGCGGGTCAGGAGACTTAGAGCCGAATTCTAACTCTGCCCCCAACTTGCTGTAACCGGTGGACAATCTCTTCACCTCTCTGGGCCTCAGTTTCCTCGTATGTAAAACAAAAGGAGTTGGATTGGCAAATTCTCTTAATAACCCTTCCGGTATGGATATTCTAAGTATACAATCGTTCTTTCTCCCAGTCCAACACAAGAGCACACCAGAAACCCCTGCAAAACAAGTCGAAGGCGCCCCAGACCAACAAACAAGCACGATCTGAAGGAGTCATTTTGTCATATTATCTTCCACGGTTTAATCAGTGTTTTTGTTTGTTGTTTGCAGCCTTACCATGATTTGCAGGAGATTTCTGAGTTCCATGTAAACAGATGTTACCTCTCTGTGGGCTGTCATCCTCTTCTGAGAGTTAAGGGGGTCTTCCCGCCCAGTTTCAAGTCTCCGAATTCAGAAACCCCCGAAGCTGAAGGAGGGTTTACGAATTTGCGCACACTGCGCGGCACACTGGAGTCTAAGTTACAGAGGAACAGGGTGCAGGGAGTGCTGGGATTTGTAGTCCCTGGGCCTCTTTGTTGCGTGCTGGGATCTGTGGTCCCCCCCAACCGGGCACTCCCCCTGGAATGCTGGGAAACGTAGTCCCTCTCACATCGCACAGTGCAACGCGCAGTCACCTCAGAGCCTTAGTGTGCCCTGCGGCGGGAGCGGGCCCCTCGAGCCTCTGCAGATTTGAAGCCAACCCTCCGCTGGGGCAAACTCTAGGCAACAAGACCTAAAGAAAAATTTGTCCTACGGGACTTCCCGGGGAGGGCCCTTCCCACCGACGCTCGTCGTCCCCCGGCGAAGCCGCTGAGTGTTTCTATTGGCTGCTTAGAGTGCCAATCGGCGAGGTGAGCTTTCCATTGGCTTAGGGGCGGGCGCTCCGAGGCTAGGGGGAAGGAGA